GATATTCCTTCTGTAATAAAAAGAGATACCATTTTGTTTTCGTTTGCATAAGAAAGAATATCAAGCATTTTTCTTTTTTAAATTTAATTAGCCACAATAAAGAAGGAACGTTGCAATGCTACACGCTACATAAACGACGTCTCTAGAGTAAATGAATGACTGTTCATATAGAAATCGCAGGTATTAGTCTCATACAACAACGCCCCCTATAGTTCGTTGCGATCGACAATCAAGTAATACTATCAAATTTTTTAGTAATTTAGTATTAATACTCAACAATAAAAAATAATGACAGTTTACTTTAGGTGTGAAGAAATAGAATTGTATTTGTAAGGGCCCCAACATTTTTAGTAGCTTAGGGCCCCGCCTAGCTTAAATCCGGCCCTGCCCTAGACGCTTGTCCTACAGTGAGTGTTTCATTAGTGACGCATGCCTGCTCAAAGTTGTAGTGAAATTCGTCTTGAATTGGAATGAGCAAAAATCATAATAAATAAAAAGTTTCACTGAGTTACAAGAGTTTGTATAAGTTTATTGGGAAGATTATTTTAAGCATGAATATATGCCGCATAAGTAGATCATCTACTTTTAAACTGTGCAAAAAAGAGATAACTTCTCAACCTCTTATATTCTATCGAGTAAGAATCTAAATTTAGAAATAATATTTTCTTTTGATTTAATTTTTCATTGGTTGCTTTTGTCTTAAAAATACCATAAGGTTTTTATTTCAAAGAGCAAATAAATTTTTAAAAAGCACAAATATTTTCTATTTAGTAAATCAATAAGTTTTTCTTGATTTCTTTTAGTAAATAAGTTTTTCGGAATGGAAGTTTTTTTACAATTGCAATGTATTGTTATTTAAAGATTAGTAATTTGTAATAATTTCAAGTTAAAAATGAAAAATTATTCATTCTTTTCTTATTATTTCTCAAAATATTTCTTGCCGTATATTGCATTTAATTAGTAATCTTTTAATATTTAAATTTAAGTCTTCCTTGTGTAGAAGAGCATATAGGAAAGAGTATGATGAATCAATCCAGGGGCCTGTCTAAGTTTTTCTGAGGGGTACCTATATTGTGAAAATTAAAAATTATATTAAAAAATCAACACCAAAATAAGGATTTATCGTTTCTTACGGGATAAAAAAATAAAATTTTAAGAAAAAATATTTTTTGAAACTACCAATTTTCCTAAAGTTGAATCTGTGAAGATACCACTTAACGATGGCAAATTTGGCCTGGACAGATCCCTGCAATTTGGAATGATCATGTTGCAATTGCCTGTCATTTGTGGAAGGACGTTCTGGTACTTTTTAGAGAGGGGGAACACATTACTAATTTTCCCTTTGTAATTTTGTATTATCTGCTCGTAACACTAATTAATTCTAGGCTAACTTTGGGCTCTGTTAGATTAAGACAATTAATTCATTGCAAAATTAGCCTTTCATTTAAATTAAATTACCTTACATTTCTATATTTAAGTTGCAGTTAAGGTATTTTATTCCCTTATAGCTGTTTCTAGGAATACTGGTTGATAAAGAGGAAAACGATAGCAGAGTATAAGAGTTTTTTTTTCTTCAATTATTTAAAACGAAATTATGTATAAGTTTCATTAATACATATTTCATTGATATGTAATGTAAATTAATTATAAGGCAAGAAAAAGTCAAAATGAATAGCTAGATATAAGTGAATCCAAATTCAACCATTTATGATCTTGTAGACGTAATTTCAAAGGAAAGTGATGTGTTAAAGAGTTTTGGATATTTTTGTTAAATATTTATATTTATTGACAATTAAGAGCATCTTTGCCTCTAAATCATCGAATAATTCAATTATTTCATCTTGCAAATGACTATGATATTTCCGACTTGAGAAAAAAGTGGCGCAATAATCAATTCTGGCATATCCATATTTTAAATATCTCCAAAATAAAGCTTAAAACCATCACTTAATTTTTGGAAATGATTTATATAAGTTTTCAGTTACTTACTATATTGAAATTACAAATGGCATTTTAAGCAAAAATTGCATATTATGTGATGCTGTCAATAAATTTGTCATTGAATGGCATTGGTATTCTTCCACCCCTTAGATAGGATCACTCCCTTATTACACCCTATTGACCCCAGTGATTAATATTGACCACTTTGGCAACCCCTGTTCTTTAGTGCATGTTTTTATTTATACTTATGATTTAAACTGAAGTACTCAGTGTTCTACCCGTAAAAATTCTAAAATAAGCATGATATTGATTTGATCTTCATAAATTTCTCATTTATACATTTTAAACTGAGTGTTTACCATTTAAAGAATATTCTATAAATTTTATCATTTTGATTTAAAAACTAAAGCGATAAGTGGGTAAGCTCTTCATTTTAATATTTTTTATTGTAATTAACTTCTAAAGTTAAAAGAGTTTTTATTTTTCATTAGCTTATTATTATAATTATCTTTAAAAAAAATTTTTTTTTTGAAACTATTATATCTGAAATAATTTTATAAAAGAAATTTTTAATGCATTTCTCATTTTTTTTTTTTTTTTTTTTTTTTTTTTTTTTTTTTTTTTTTTTTTTTTTTTTTTTTTNTTTTTTTTTTTTTTTGTCATTTCAATTTAAAGTTACAATTATCTTCAAACTCTAATATTTAGCTTTATTTTTAAGAATACTTGGATAGTAAAAAGAAAATACACGCCACCGCTTTCGAGGCTAAACGCTGAAAGACCTCGCGTCTTGAAGGGAAAACATTTTATTTATGAAACTATTGAAAATACTGATGATACACCACCTCCTGATCTACACCTTGTTCTCACAACTTTTGTAGAAGGTATGTTGATTTATTTTTATTATTACTTACTTTAAATTTTATACTTTCTTTTATTTATTTATTAGAAAATATGAAATCAAAGTAAATAAATTTTAGTTATATGTTTTTAAATCTTTAATGGTTATTTTATAATGAAATGCAAAACAGAGGTTGTTTCTAAGCCATTTCATAAATAGCTGTAATACCGATTTAAAATAATTATTTATTAATGAAATTAATAGGGTAAGACTGTGATCTGAGAAATTGAGAAGCTTTAGAAAGTTTTTTTTTTCTTCCAATTATGCCTTTTAATTTTTTTATCAAGATTTTACATGTGACGAAATATGATTGGAAATTACAGAGGGAAGAATTTCTTTAATTTTATTTGAATTCATGAGTATGTATAATTATATTAATTTAATGTTTTTTTGCTGTTTGATGAACTTCTCTTACATAGTGTAGCAGTCTCTCTGAAATCCACAACAATACGATCCACCATCCTCTAAATTTGCATTGATTGTTTAAAAAAACATAATGCAATGCATTTTCAAAAATTTTCAACTTATGAAGAAAAAAATTTTTCTTTATAAGTTTACTTATTTAAGTAATCATTCTGCCTCATTTTTTTACAATCTGTGATATATTTAAAGAAAACTAGAAGGGTCAAAAAAATTTTATAACGAATTATAAACTCTATCAATTACGCTTTAATTTTGTTAGTTTTTCTTTCAAAATGTTAATCTTTATTTCTATATATGTATTTAGGTATAAATTAATACAATTAAAAAGAATCATCGAAACATCTAAAATCTGCAAAATTTTAAGGCTGCAAAGCTCCTGCTCCCAAGTCTATTAATTAAACATGTTGTTTTTCATGTTAATAATTTATTTTAGTAAATTATCTCCATTACTGTTCAGCGATTGTTCCAAAACTTATAAAAATCTTAACTTTTTTTTATAAATAAAAATTATTTTTCATACAGAAAAAAAAAATTGCCAAGAAAAAAAAAGTTGTTATGAGAAGAAAGTAGTCAAGATTCTTTTTCAAACAACCTTCTTCTTTTTCCTTCGTATGACTAAATATAAATTTTCTTTAAATGTCATGGGAAGTTTAAAATATTTTCTATAAAATTTGGAGAGAAAACTGTTCTGAAAATATTCATCCCACAGTGGACTGATCATAAGACGTGGTTCCCGATAGATCACCAAAGTCAAGTATCACTGGCTGCCGTTAGTGTGCAGATAGGTAACCACTTTGATCAGCCTGTGAAGAAACCGAGGGTGTGCAGTGTTGGTTCTTGTTAAACTGTTCTACTGTACTCACCACAGAAGTACAAAATTGTGAAGGCTTGTCTTCAGATCATGTTCAGAAATATTTTTTAAGCCGTCACCAATAGCTCAAAGCTAAAAGCTCTTGTGCGACAATAGTACCTTCTAAACATTCTTTCATATAACTATAATTGTATCAAAACAAATATATATTTTTTCTAATTACAAAAGCTTCAAATTTTAAATGATGTTTTTACTTTAATGTTTTCAATTGCTGAATGTTTCATTGTTTTTCAATTACTTTAATATTATCTAATACATGTGTGCTTCAGCTATATCCCCAAACCTAAAGTCTTTAATATTTTGACTTCTGTCTGAGGCCACACATACTCTAATAGTACTTGAAAAGACTATTTAAATTATTTAATATGACAGTTATCGTCATGAAAATATATTTTCACAATTTAAAATTATTAAGGAATTTTTAAAGAAATGCTTGTTAAATGAAATTGGTTTTTAACTTGAGTTAAGCTTCTTATTTCACTTAAAACGAATTCTTCCTTGTATATTTTATTCGTTATTTCAACATTTAGCTGAACTACTTCACTTAAAGTTTCAACAATTTTATTCTTAGATGAATTTTTATAAAAATTTACATTGAAATAAATTTTTTACCGCTAATAAACAAATTCTGCAGATACTGATTTTAAATAAAATAAATCAATTGTTTATCACTTTTTAAAAAGAATTTTACCTGAAGTGATCTGAAATAGTTTTTAAAACCTGTAAACCATTTGCAATGAGAATGGAAAGGGGTTTTAAACTATTTCTCTAACAATTTACATTTACTAGTGTTTAAATTACCCGAAACAAAAAAGCAATTCCTTCTTTCTAATTTCCATTTATGTCTGTTTAGTTCATCACCGAACTCAAAATTATATCATGTCTTTATAATTTATAAAAGTTTTAAATTTAAATTGTGTTCTTTTTTTTATATCATCGTTTACTGTTCTTTAACATTAATCATGCCTCTGCCTTAGCTATAAGAATGTTTTGCCTAATTTTACGTGTAATAATACTTTTTTGTAACCAACAGGTATTGGAGATGTAGGAGATATTATCTCTGTAATGCCAGAATATGCTCGTAATGATTTGCTTTTACCAAGAAAAGCAGTGTATGCTACTCCTGAGAATATAGGAAAATATTCAATGAAGAAGAAGGTAAAAAATGATATTGAGTCTCATATATTTAGATAAATTTGTCTATCTTTTTATCTGTGCTTCTTATTATAAGTAATTAAAGCATGTATAGTATCTCTTTATTCTGCAATTTATATTTTCAGTAATTAAGGCTGTTTAGTTATTTAGAGGTATATTCAGATAAATAGTATCACTTTTTTTTAATATAAAATAGATTTTATTGCATCAGTGTTTTCATCATAGAAAAAAAATGGGTGAGAANGCATGTATAGTATCTCTTTATTCTGCAATTTATATTTTCAGTAATTAAGGCTGTTTAGTTATTTAGAGGTATATTCAGATAAATAGTATAACTTTTTTTAATATAAAATAACTTTTATTGCATGAAATAAACAAGGTAATAAAAATGAACTGAGGTAAACAATACTATAAATGTACACTTTATTTTTTTTTATTATAATTACATTGATAATGAATGTATATACGCTCAAACTGCTTTAGAACAAGCTCTGATTTAACGAGAACTCGAACGGTACAATATTAAGTCTATTGCAACAAAACGAGTAACCAATTTTAGCGAGCAATATTTTTGTGATTCATAAAAAAATTTCGTGCTTTTACCTTTCCAACTCTGTTATTCCCTTCTTTGAAAAATTCATTTAACATTTTGAAGACTACTGAAAGTATCTGATGAGTCATAAATCGTGAAACATGTGATCTTTTTTCAAAAGCAGAGCTGCAAATGACTATGTTCTTTGGGTCATGAGTCTTATTTGAGGAACAATAACACTACAAAGAGACACTTTGTATTGGAATAAAAAATAAATAGAGTAGGTACTATATTTTGAATTTAGTCAGTTTGACAAAACTTATATGATTTTTTTCATTAACCCCCCAAGCACTTGGTTACCACGTGTAAATATTGCTGTCTTTTCACGTTCATTATAAGCGAGTTTGGCTGTACTTTTACATCAATTACTTGTTACAAAAGCAAATATATTACTATTTATGACAAAAGAATCTCAATATTTTAAACCAGTGGTTACTATTTATCATTTCAAACAAGGCATAAAATTAACGAAATGTTCATTATTTTAATTGAAGATATATTAACGTTTTTAATACAAATACACATGGGAAATATTTTCTTAATTAGAGTAATTAAATGTCTGATATAAAAGCAGGCATACTTCCTTTTGTGATTGTAGCATTCATTTTAGGAAAAGGAATTTTAACAACACTTATCTACGTATTTGCCTTTCATTTTCATAATTGAAATAAAAGCAAAAGTACTAACATTTATAATATTTATAGTTTTATATATATGTGTGTGTGTGTGTGTGTATATATATATGTGTGTGTGTGTATATATATATATATATATATATATGTTACACTTTGAAAGCCTAAACATTGTAAGTTCGTAGTGTGGCCGGTGCTTCTTGAAAAAGATACAGGAAAATGCAGGAATCATAATATAATTTTATTAAAGTAAGGGCCAGAGCCCCAGAATGACAACCTTACATGCTGGTGGATAGGTATAGAATAGCACATTTGACCTTGGAACAATATATTTAAATCTTTCTGGACAATATATTTAAATGTTAATAGGTCTCAATAGCGTGGGACTGATCAATTTCCCAAGCTACTAAAGCCACATCATCACATTTTTTTAGATAATTAGATCCATATTATTACTTTCTTGTGGGAAAGGTTTTTAAACGTTTGCGCGTTAGATATATGTAATGTTAAAACAATTATATATTTTATATATATATATTTTTATATTATATTTTATTTTATTACCGTCGTTGAACAGCTGANTATATATATATATATATATAAACTAATTGTAAATTCTTATAAATGTTTCTTATTGTTTAAGTTTTCTAGTGCAAATATAAAAAGAAAATCGAAGTACACAACTTTTGCTTTTTGACAACTATACGGTTGTACTTTATTTTCTAAACTGTGTTTTTATCATAATTCTCTTGTATAAGAAAATCTATAATCCTGGTTATAAATCAAAATATATTTATTTTAGAGTAGAGAAGAAAGACCAAAATTCAGTTCTATTCATGCTGCTACAGTAAGTTAAACCTATTTGGTTCCATAATCTAAAGTTATGATGGACTCTCTTATTTAATTTAATTATTTTTCTTTAATGCAGATTATTAGAAGTTTGAGTAAGATAGTTATACCTGTATTTATGAATTCTGAAAATCCTTGGACTATCACAAAGAGTCATCTTCACATAGCTTTTCGCAAAGAAGTAAGAATAATTATTTTATTATTATAATTATGAAAATTTAAATATTTTATAAAATGTTTATAAACCACATATTTAAAAAAAAGTTTATTAATAAATGTTCCTTTACCAATAAAATTTGAACATTGAAATCAAATTCAAATGCTTTTGTGACAGAGAGTCTCCTTCCTCATCATTTTAAGAAATAAATCAATTCAACTCAGTCAAATCCAATGTGTTTTCATGCGTTTTTAATTAAAAGTTAATTCAAATTAATCTTAAAATGTTGATTCAGCTTTTTGTGAAGAAATCAGCTGGAATATTTTAAGATTGCATGTAATTTTAATAATTTTTTTAAATGACAAGTAAAATAATAATTTCTCAATCAATAAATGTATTATTAAATCATAATTTTGGTTATATAGTTCATTTTTAAAGGAATATATTCCTATCTTTTTAATGTTGTGATTCTCTATCCAATCAAAAATTTAATACGACCATCTAAATTAAATCAAACCAGTTTTTCTGAAAAAGAAGTGTTATCACATTTTAAGGTATAAAACAATTCTACTTAATCAAATCAAACATGTTTTAGAAAGAAGTGTTCTTGCTAAACTTTTAAGTTATAACTTAATTCAACTGAATTTATATTTTCCATCAAGATGAATTATTTTATGATTCATCTTGATGTATGTGTATAATGTAATGTATGTATATATATACTTTTTAATAATGCACGATTTAATAATGCATACATTAATTCAACTTAATTTACATGTTATAGTGTAATTCTTTTGACATACTTTCAAATGTAGAAATTATTTTTAACTCACTGTAGTAGACATTAATTATTTTTATACTTAATGTATATGAAAATTTCAGTTAACATACTTGTAAAGATATGAAATAAGTCAGACAAATACTTTGGCAGTTCTTTAAAATTCCAATTTTGATTTCCATAGTTTTATTTTTCCAGTTTTTTAAATAATTAAAAAATGGTAGTCATTATGCTTCACTTCACCTTTTAAAATAATGATAATAATGTAATGATAATTTATGTCAATTATGCGAGTGGTTTAAAAATTCCCAAAAGCATCACAGTTTATCGAATAGTTAGTTCATTTCTGCTGAAAGACTGCATTCTCGTCAGCTTCTCGCTATGATTCGATCTATAATTTTATCTAATTATAACAGTTTGATTTTTTATTAATATATTTTTTTAAATTTAATTATTATCTATTTTTATTTTTTTTTAAGTTACTCCAAATTCTTGATTTTTTTTAAAACTTTTCAGAGTAAAAGTAATTTATCATAAATAATTAATGAATTTGTTTGTTTGAATTGATTTTTTACTAATTTTTTATCCATTTAAGAAATTTCTAACATTTCTTTTTCATATTGTTTTCTTTTTTTCTTTTACTTAAGCATTAGGTTAAACTATATTTAGTAAAATATAAATTTAATTGTAAAACAAAGTAAATGGTTACTTTTATAGCAATACATTTTTAAAAAAATTAAGGTGTGGAAACGTTTTCTGGTAGTTTTATTAAAAAAAAAAAAAAAAAAGTTAAAATCAATATTTTGGATATAGTATAGTAAAATTTTGTAAATAAATTTGATTGCAAAATAATTCTTATCAATGAACTTTTTATTTAATATTGTAGGGCAAAATTAACAGTTGACTAAATAGAACAAATGGCAACCAAAAGGTTATCTGCCAGTCACCATTTTTTCATTGAAAGTGCATTCCAGTTGTAGTTGTATCCATTGGTCAATAGCAAAACTTCCTAATTTTGCTCTATAAATATCAGTTTTAATTTTGTTATTGCTACTTATCTTTGAAATAATCTAAAAGATTTGTTTTCTTTTTTTTTTCTTTTAACAATTTTTTACTAAGCGTATGATATTTATTATTAATTATAATTGATACAATTTGGTTATATTTATAGTCCTTAATATGTGTAAATTTTTACATTTTTTGAAGAAAAAATAGCTAAAATTTATCTAATGTCTTCTGATTAAGATGTATGAAAAATTAATACAAAAAGGTTTTCAGTATATAACTCTCTAACAATCAGAATTCTACTACCATCATTGCTTGTACAAATACTTGGTTAATATTTTTGTTTGTGCAGATGTGTATTACACACAAAATTTCTTTTTGGAATTCTCTAAAATTTTTCTGCCACATTGCATGAAATTTATTGTAGATTAGAATAATTTGATATTTCTATTTCTCAATATGTTGCATTTTATATTTTTTCTGAAAAAAGCTATTATTTTATTTTTTATGCTTGAACTTTTTAATGTACATACACGTGAATTCAATTACAATCTTTGGATAATACATGTGTTTATCATTACATGAAATATCATTTTACTACTGAGTTATTCTAGAATTTTTAATCAAATTGCATGACATTTATAAATTTGTATAATTAGATAATATTTTTATTTCATTATATTCTGTTTATATTATGAACTTCCAAGAAAATTTATTCATAAATAGTATCTGATGTATCATTTGACCCAAAAATATTAAAAACTTTTATTTGAATTTCAATTTTTTAGTTCTAAAAATCCTACACATATTTGTTCCTACAAATATTCTATTACCATGTTTGTTTGTTTTTTTCAGGTAAACATGCACACAAATTTTTTCTTTTATGTTCTTAATAATCTCTGCTAATACAGTTCATGAAATTTATTTTAAACTATTACAATTAACATTACATAACTAACTAAACATTCCTTTAAATATACTGCTAATTTTTGCCAATTTTGTGTAGTTAGGATATTCTGTAACACTTCAATACCTTCAAAGATTAAATTGTCTATATTTTAATGAAAATAAATGAGCATTTTACTTAACCTTTTATAGATCTATTTATTTCTTGAAATGCTATGTTAAAATATTTTAGGGATATTCTAGGATAGGACTAACTGCTCTGGATTTAAAAAAATATTTTAAAAAATGGTAGAGAACTATAAACAAATTTTTGCAGATTTTCAGTTGATTTTGCCAACTTTTTAAAAGGTTCAACTAACTATAACTAAGGTGTAATTTAATTGTAACTAAGAAAGTGGCATATTACATAAGCCTTTAAAATATATTTATTAGTAGTCGTAAGTATAAGCCCTATAAAATGAATTTAATAAACCAAGAAATATACATTAAAAGACTACCACTCAAAAATATTAATTCGCTATCTGGTGTAAATCGGCATCTCTCTTTATAGATAACGGAATTTATAAATGTTGTATTTATAACTACAAAGAAATTTGATAAGTAATCAAATGAACAAACTTTTTATACACAAGAGCAAATAGTTCCCCGGTGTTAACCTCTCTTCATGACCTCACACTAACCTTTATTGTTACCCATATTTATGTAAACAAAGCCCTTCTTTATTTTTTTCTTAAGTTATCAGCAGATGGTTGCATGAATCACAAGCCAAAAAATTACTTCAAATCAACATTTAAAACTTACCGTGGTAAGTATACTCTACACAGCCACATGAAGGGTTAAGCTGTGCTGATTTGTTTGTCATAAATTAATGAAATTTAAAGATAACCTACTTAATTCATAGTCTGAGAGTCAAATAATTAGTCAATGTGTAACAATGATTTAAATTAAGTTATCTAAGCTTAAATAACTTTTTCTACCCTAAAAAATAACTAAAAAGTTTTTAATTTTTGAGCTTAATGATTATGCAATGAATTTTTATTATGTGCTTGTTGTTGTTGTTGTTGTTGTTACTTTACGTCGCACTAGAGCTGCACAATGGGCTATTGGCGACGGTCTGGGAAACATCCCGGAGGATGATCCGAAGACATGCCATCGCAATTTTGATCCTCTGCGGAAGGGATGGCACCCCCGCTTCGGCAGCCCGACGACCTGCACGCGAAGTCGAGCACTTTACGGTAGCACAGTTTAACGAGGACCAATACCGCACACCCTCGGTCCCTACGCAGACTGATCCAAGTGGTCACCCACCCGCACACTAACCGTAGCCAGTGATGCTTGACTTCGGTGATCTGCTGGGAACCGTGTCTTAACGATCAGTCCACTGCGGGACTATTATGTGCTTGAGTTCATTCATAGTTGTTCACGCAGGTGTGTATTAAGAAAATTGTGTTTCCTAACTTTTGTATAAACCCAAATTCTGATTACTCTTCTATGGGCATGTTCATTAAAATTAAAAACTGTGACTAAATATGTATTGTGACTGCCATAGTAACAGAACCTCATTTTAAATTTGTTTACAGGGTTTTTTTATTCCACATGATGCCATAGAACTGCCTTCAAGTTCTGTCGAAGGACCAGACCTTGCAATGGAAGGTAGAGATTTTGCAGTGACAGTTACGGTAATTCTGTTTACATTTTAATAACAGAAATTTGAGTTTTTTATTATTATTAATGGATGGTTCATTATGATACTTAAAAGTATTTGCTTCATGCAAGGCATAATTTCTCTCTGATTAAAATCACTATTTTGAAATACAGTAAAACCTTGATTTTTTAAATTCATAAAAAAAATGAAGTAATCATGTTTAACCTTATTAAATGTGCTTATAGATTATATTAATATTTTTCATGATCATATTTTGCAACATTTTTATTACTTACAAAAAAATCATATTTAAAATGCATTATGTAATTAATGAACTTTAATGCCTTATTATTTCTCTAAGAAAGAATAAATTTTTATGTAAATCTGTAGTTTATTATTAGTATATTATGTTATTTTGTTGTAATATAGTAGGATTTAATGATCTAAAAACTGTTTACCTTGCAATGATTTTAACTAAAAGGGTATTTTTCATTTTCTTATTTCATATATTAACATGTTTACTTAAAAAATTACCTCTATCTGACAAATTGTGTAAATCTTAACCAAAACGTTATCACCCATGTCTGTTTTATTGCAATAAGTGTTATTTTAGTGTTGTTTTTTTTTTTTTTTTAGTCTTTGAAAATTTCTCCAATAAGTATTTAGCAAAATTGGATTAAATACATAGCGAACTAGAGATTGTCACTTTGCACAAACAATTAATAAAAATGAAGAGCTCAATGACCGTATAAAATTGATATTGCTTTCGTTAAGTAGATAAAAAGGGGCATAGTAGAGTCCGTAGATGGAACACCATCCCAGGACTTTTATTAGAGTATTTTTAAAGAATATTCACTGAAAATGAAGTTAAAACAGTTAACAGATTAGGGATTGTAAATAAATATTTAAGCAAGAAAATTAAAACTAAACAAAACTCAGTGGTGCGACAGGCCATAGAGGGTCAAGGCCTACTGTGCCCATCTTAGTTTTCTTATCCTTGGGCTCTGGGTTGCAGGAGCCGATGTTCCAGTCAGGTGGTCAGCCGAACGCAGAACCCCCAGTGTTTAGTTCCCAAGCAGGCTTGGTACTCATTTATCGACCCACTGAAGGGATGAAAGGCCGAGTCAACCTTGCCCAGCCCAAGGATCGAACCCAGGTCCTGTGTCCTGGAAGCGGGATGCGCTACCACTCAGCCACTGGGCATTAAGCAAGAAAATAAAAACACAAAATCAAAACCCAACAAATCATTAATCAGAATGACGGTACCGAATCCGGTTTAGTTCCATTATTAATCTTAAATTGTGTTTTTAATAAACACTGTTCAACTCCTCATTAAGGATTGTGGTTACCCTTCTTTCCGTATTTTGAGGGGAAAAAATCCAAAGCCGTTGAAGAGAATGTTATATTTGTATTTCTGATTTCAAAACTTAATATGTGACACTAATTTTAAAACAGTTTATAATAGTTACAGCGTATTTTGGGTGAGCCCCTTGCAATGTGAAAAAATATGAAATTGCAATTTTGGATTGGGAAACTTAAAACTGCAGTAATTAGTAATAATACAAAAAGCATCATAATCAACTGATCTTTCAACTCTCTGTATTATTACTAATTATTGCAGAACTTAGTTCGATTAGCATAAATGACTGTGCATTAAATTTTATTCAAAATAAAATGGTAACACTGGTCCACTTATCTACCAATGATACTGTCTTCTTAGATTAACAACACAGAAAAAGTGCTGGTGCGCTGCAGAGTTTTCTACATCAAGAAAGGGATGGAAACTGCTATATTGAGTGAAGAAGACTATTTAGAAAAAAATGAGCCCATTCTAGCAGAACAAAAAGAACTTTTACAATCAATGCCTATGCCAGAAATTGTAGATGATCCTTCTTCCTCTGTATCACTCATTGAAAAATATCGCATTAAATATATTGAATAAACTTATTTTATTTTGTTTAACAATTTCATTCTGTATTAAAACTCATTCTAACTTTAACAACTTACACTGTAAAGACAGACCAAGCACACATCATGATTCTCTGATCACAAAATTGCCTAACTAATGTGAATGCTGACAGGCATTTATCGCAGAAATAAAAAAGACGTTGACAGATCTTGTCACAAAAACAGAAAATGTTCAGACTTCTACAAAGCATTGAACACTTGGTAGTCCACTACTTTGGTAAGCACATCAGTGAATTTCTTGCCTGCACAAGGTTAATGCAATTAGATTTTTAAATTGAATGTTTTGTAATTGCTATTTCGGATAATAAAAAAAAAATATATGTATTAGGGATGAAGAATATTTAAATGAGAAAAGATCTACACTGGTGGACAAAATTAGAAATGGAAGACATTTTCCCAAATATCTCAAAAAATACTGAATATAAATAAATGAAATTTGGTATGGATATAGCTTATTCCATGATAATAAAGTATGCAAAACAAAAATGAAAGTGCCATTCACTGGCAAGACCTATTGCCAATAAATCCAATGTAGTCTGAACTTAAGGATAAAAGTGAGGCTTGTACAGCGTGTGTTGCCTCTAGTATGGTCACCCCTGACAGACAGCATGCATAACGAGTATGCATGCTGTTAATAAGGGAGTTAAGGAGGACTTGTGGAAGACCCTCCCATTCTTCCACCAGAGCAATTTTTAACTCCAGAATGGTTCCGGGGGGAGGTTGGCGCATCACAATAGCTCTACCAAGAGCATCCCAAGCATGTTCAATAGGATTCAGGTCAGGGGATTTGGCTGGCCAATCCATTTGTTGAATATCTTCACTTTCCAGATACTCATCAACCATGAGAGCTCTATGTGGTCGAGCATTGTCGTTCATAAAAATGAACTCGGGGCCAACAGCGCCCCTGAAAAGACGCACATAGGGCTCTAGGACCTCCTGCCTGTACCTCTGAGCATTCACGGAACTATTGTCAAACACATCATAAATGATAGGTATCTTGCAAGTGCGAATGAATGTGAGAAAATGCTTTCCATCTCTTAATTTTGTCCACCAGTGTAGAATTATCCAAATCAAAAAAATCATATCAAGAATAATCACAGTGAAGGTAAGCTAAACACTATCAAAACCAGTTTTGTTGGTGGTGGAAATTGAAAAAGAAAAAACTATTTTATTGCCTTTCAGTTTCACCTAACCATCAAACTGACTTTTGAATCTCTTAATTTTACTTCTTGTGATTAACCACAAAACTTATAAATCATTCTTTCTTTTTGGCACTGAAAACTAAGTTTGCAAGCTCATTTTTTTTTTTTTTTTTTAAATCATCAAGATTTTTAAAAAATACCTTTTTATAGTCATTTTCATATCATGATAATCAAAATTTTTAAATAACTTTATAAAGTCAAGAATAAAATATTAAATTATAATTATCCTACCCTGAGGAAACGTTTAAGTTAGCAGCTATGCGTAATTGAATAATTTGCCTTGGTTTTATTCTGAACAAAGGTTCTAAAATGCAAAACAAAGCAATTTCAAAAAAAAAGTTTGAATAATAGTACTCAATGAAAGAAATTTATATGTTTTCACAAACTTACAATAAAATTAATCTAAATTAAATCATTAAATAAAAAAATCTCCATATAAAAAAATATTAGAATTATGTAAAGAAGTAATAAATTCATTTAAATGAGGGAATTGGTTGATAGTTGGTTAATGATATTTCAGAAACTGAACTCGTGTAAGTTAATTGCGGACATGTTCTAATTTAATTTTACAGAACAGAAAATTAAAAATAAGCAAATGAAATAGGAGTTTTTAACATGAAAATTTAATCTTACCTCATTTATTTTAACTATTAGAAATATAGTCAGTATAAACTATACTACAATTAACATGTTTACAAATATTTCACACAAAGAAATTACACAATGCAAATTAAAGGAACATTTGGAACACTTAAGAGACAGTTTTTTTTTTTTTTTTTCAAGTTTTAGGGCATTTATTAAAAATGATACAACTTTTCAAGTTAGCTACTTCAACAATTACAAAATCACAAATGTCTACAACTTAAAAAGAAAAGCTTTTTATTACATAGATTTAACAAACAAACAGCAATTCAAATTGAAAAATCCAACGCATGTAAAAATAAACTAACACGCTTAAATAATAAAAAAATCCAGGTTGCCCATTTTAAAACATATCAGTACACCTGTTAAGCATTAATGTTAAAAATATTAACAAAAAAAAAATTCAATCTTACCCTTTATAGTATTTTACCCTTTTAAAAACTAATGGTACAGATGTATACTATCTTGAATAAACATATAAAGAAAAATATGTATTTTAAATTTTATTTTTTAATGAATTATTGTGGTCATTAATATTTACATTAAATTTATATCTTAACTAGTGATGTAACGAATAGTGATGGGGCCGAATATCGAATATTCGGCCAAATTTTAGGCCGAATACTTAAATTTTAAAAATTTCTCTTTTGATTGTAATTAAAGTAATTTTAAATTAAAAATGAAATAAATATTAACAAAATTGCTTTTTTAATCTTTGTATATTTAAAAAAAATTTAACAACTTGATTTATTTTTTGTAATAATTTAAATATCTTGATGTAATATAATTAACAAGGCAATATGGCTTTTATAAATCTAAATAATTAATAGCATATTTTAATTATAGTTATAATTGTAATTTATATGCTATTTTATTTAAGATAAGAAGTCATTATTTACTACTACTGTTAAATGTATTCTTAACTATTTTTTTTGTCAGAAAAATTATTAAAACTCAGAAAATTAAGAACTTTTTGAAATTTTAATTTTGTAATTAAATAATTTTCAAATTTTAAATTAAAAATGAAATAAATATTAACAAATTTGCTTTTTTAAACTTTGTATATTTTTAAAAAAAATTTAACAACTTTATGTATTTTTTGTAATATTTTAAATAGCTTGATGCCAACAATAAGGCTTTCACAAATCTAAATAATTAATAATAGCATATACTTCATTATTCGGCCGAATAACTTCAGTATTCGGCTAGGCCGAATATTCGGCAAAGGGGCCGAATATTCGTTACATCCCTAATTTGAACATTAATTTTTATTTAAACGAGCTGTGAACTAAATCAAAATTTTGAAAATAATTCTGTACCAATTTTTTACACTTACATGAAAAAACTTCTGTCTATCAAATACAGTGCCCATGAGTGCCATTTATACGGCCAGCGTATTAAAGTGGTAACTGTACAAAACTTTTGGCACTCATGGAGTTACAACAAAGCAAAGCTCACTTGTTATAAAATAGAGTAAATAATAAATATAATAAGAAGGTGCTATTTTAGCACCAATATTCATTGGAAAAATACAGGATATTAAACACAGGAAAAGAATATTATATATAAAATTAATAATAAACTCTTCCTTCACTTTAACTATGCTACTGTAAAACATATATCATCTGATATTTATATAAACTCATTTTTAATGGAATAAAAAATTATTTTATGTTTAAGCTTGTACATATAACTACTTT